GGAGGAAGTTTATTCTGCACCTACTTAATTCCTGGAAATGGAATTGTTGGGTCAAATGGTAAGTGCACTTCAATTTTTGAAAGCTATTTCTAAATTTTCAGTCATATAACTTTTGTACCAATTTATACTCCCAAGAACAATGGCTAACACTTTTCAAGGTATTGTTCTCTTGTGACTCTCCAATCCCTTTCTAAATGCAAGGACTCTAGTAGTAAATCTAAATTTTAAGGTAGCTAATCCTATCTAATAAATATGCAAGTTGACTCTTAACTCCCACGACAAAGATGGCGGCACCCACAGCCAATAAGGGAATATGCAAACTGGCATGACAAGGTGAGAGGTGGAAGGCGGCTTGGGGCCGGAGTAAAGGCAGAAAGGTGGCTCTGGCCGGAGTAAAGGTGGTGCCGGCAACCAGGGGAAGGAAGGCCTATTCTTGCATGAATCTTTGTGCATCGGGCCTCTAGTGAATATAAAGGTCAGGTGACACCAGGTAGTTTCAAGTGTATGTGCCCTGTTTACCAGGCATGACTTTTGCAACCCCACAGCCCTCCCCAGCTTCTGCTGCAGGCATGGCCACAACCATTCATTTGCTGCCTTAGTAGGTCCACACTGTAAGCAGAAATATTATGAGGTAAAGAAACTGCCACACTCAATGTGTTGAATTCTCTAGAGCATTAAAAGAATTATAAGGGAAACAAACACAGGTGGCGGCTGACCTAGTTAACTCTGATATCACTTTGGAGCTACTTAAAATAGAAGTCCCGTGGAACACAAGGAAGGACATTCATAAAGTCCATGCTGTTTATGGTGCATATAACATCATTACCCTAACATAAAAGCAATTTTTTTAGTAACTTTGAAATCTGACAGCTATTTTAATCGCATGGTTGACTAGAATCAATATAAGTTAAAGCATATCCATGCTTCCTTCTTGTTCCTTTACATATTGGACTTGCCATCCTTCAGTATTCTCCCAAATAAAGTCCTTTTCCACCATGTAACAGAGTTTCTTACTTTGGTTCATGCCTCATGTTCTAAAATTATCCCTTCTCCCCAAATAAAGTTCTTTCTTTCTTTATTTTTTTTTTTATTGATTTCAGAAGGGGAGAGACAGAAACATCAGTGATGAGAGAGAATCATTGATCTCCTGCATGCCCCAAACTGGGGACAGAGCCCACAACTTGGGCATGTGCCCTTGACTGGAATCAAATCATATCCTGCATAGGGACTGGATATTTATGATGTGGCAAATGTAATAGATTGCCGTGATGCTGGGTAAACATGAGTAAAATTGTTAACTGAATAAACAAAAGAAAAGAACTACAAGTAAGACATTACCATAGTTCAGATTCATGAACTGGTGAGTGCTTACTGCACGCAGACATCATGTTAAATGCTTTACATATAATCTTTAGAATACTATTAGGTAAGCACATTTTGTAGATGAAGGACAGTAACTTAGTGAGGGGAGCCAGGATTCAATTCATGTTTCTAACAAGTTTGGAACAATAAATCCTAGTAGTGATTTGATATAAGGATTATCTCTCCCAAAGAACCCATAAATATACAAAATTCTACATGCTAAATTTTTGGATTTCCCTTCTCAAAGCTGTTAAAAGTCAACCTTACCTTAGAATATACTCAAGGGTAGTCAAATGGAAACCAGGAAGGTTTAACATTAACATCATCGTACCATGATTATGTTCATATTGTAATGAAGATCTAAAGAATCTTAATGAACCCTTAGAAAGGTACTCAATTTTGTAGACCTGGAATATTAAAAACAAAATCAAAACAACAAACAGTACATCTGCATTTTAAATGAAGCAAATATGTATAGAATATTGGCAGAAACCATTCTATTAACCAGACCATGTCTTAACTGGCCTAGTTAAAAACAGACTCACAGTAAAGAGTATGAAGCCAGAGGTTCTTCCTGTTAACCAACCACGTGGCATATTCCCTTCAAACTGTTTTTCAAGACTAGAATATCATTATTTCTAAATAATACTATAGTATTTTCTATTGACAATGATACTACATTTTCTAAGCACATTATAAATAAAATGTTCAGTTTAGTTTTTATTTTACCTTACCTATTTGTGCAAAAACATCTGTAAGAGTAACATCTAGTATTAACTTTCTCAATTTCAGGCAGGATCCATTCGCTAACTTGCTGTGTGATTTAGCTACACAGCTTAAGTTAGCCAGACATTTAAACAGATGTAGTTTACAATTTCTGTGTGTTTACAACCTGAGAGTTCATCACTAGTAAGGCTAATGAAGCACTTCAAACTCTTTTTTTTTTTTAAAGCACTTTTAAAAATATATGTATTTTTATTGATTTCAGAGAAAGGGAGGGGGAGAAACACCAATAATGGGAATCATTGACCAGTGCTTCCCACAAGCCCCCTACTCGGGATTGAGCCTGCAACCCAGGCATGTACCCTTGCCCGGAATCAAACCTGGGACCCTTCAGTCCACAGGTCTACACACTATCCACTGAGCCAAACCAGCAGGCCACTTCAAATTCTTAAGTGAAAAGACAAGAAAATAAAGCAATAGTATTTTTATCTTTAACCATACACAAATCTTAATGTTGTTGCTGTATTTACTAATAATTAAGCACTACTTGACATTGCCCTAACAAAGTAATAAGGACTTGTTAGGAAAGCAAGAGTAATTGATATAATTTTATGTCACCACAAGATGGAGTTAGAGTTCTCTGAACACACACACACACACACACACACACACACACACACACTCACACTCATTCTGTCAAAAGACTACAGATTTGACTTATTTCATCCTGCCATCTAGTGGCAATAGAAGTAGGCATTATTCTATCAGCAATTTTCAACCTCTTTCATCTCATGGCACATACTAATTACTAAAATTCTGCAGCACACCAAAAAATTATAATCTTGCCATTCTGAAAAAAAAAAAAAAGGTATGATTTTGATTCATTCACACTAGGCGGCTATTATTGTGTTGTCTTTTTTTATTTGATAATCCAAGGGGAAAAAGGTCAGTGCCCCTGACTAGTTAGGTATTGCATGCTTTAAGAATTTTTTCCGCCGAAACCGGTTTGGCTCAATGGATAGAGCGTCGGTCTGCAGACTGAAAGGTCCCAGGTTCAATTCCAGTCATAGGGCATGTACCTTGGTAGCGGGCAAATCCCCAGTAGGGGGGTGCAAGAGGCAGCTGATCAATGATTCTTTCTCATTGATGTTTCTAACTCTCTATCCCTCTCTCTTCCTCTCTGTAAAAAATCAATAAAATATATATTTTTAAAAGAATTCTTTCCTCTTTCTGTGTGTGTCTGTCTTTCTGTCTCTAAAAATCAATTAAGAATTATTTTTTTTAAGTATGCTGGGAAGCTCAGTTGGTTAGAGTTTTGTCCTGATTCATCAAGGTTGCAGGTCAGGGCACATATAAGAAGCAACCAATGAATGCAAAAATAAGTGAAACAACAAATTTGTTTCTCTCTCAAAATGAATTTTAAAAATTAAAAATCCTTGTGGCACACTAGTAGAAAATCATGGCTATATTGAATGTCTTACTTATGCAAGAGGAAAATAAAGATAAGCAGTTCACAAGAGCTAAGAAATTAGTTGAAAGGCAAGATTAAATACAGAAAGTAGTAATATCATTTAGCACAGTGGTCAGTAAACTGCGATTCGAGAGCCACATGCGGCTCTTTGACCCCTTGAGTGTCCTAATGCCACTTCTTCAAAATAGACTCGCCCAGACCGAAAACCGACTTCTGTGCATGGGTCATGAAGTTTCAATCGCACTGTACATGCGGGCAAGCACGTAATATTTTGTGGAAGAGCCGCATGTGTCTCAAGAGCTGCGGTTTGCCAACCACTGATTTAGTATAATAGCAAAAAGCATGAGAGTGTGTCAGATTGGAGTACCAAGTTGCAAATAAATTAAGAAATAAAAACCTCTTTCCCTAACTATCAGTAAGATGTTTGGTCCTTTCAAATAAGCTAGGGCCATATTGGGGTGAGCCCCCAGTTCATCAGGCAACTAGCACTGTACCCCCCAGCACGGACCCTGCACTCATCCATACTATGGCCTCTGAGCTCACCTGCACCTACTGCATCCTCACTCTGAGGATAAGTTCAATGCCCTCATTAAAGAAGCCAGTGTAAATGTGAACCTTTGTTTTTTTTTTAGTTAATGCTCACCTGAGGATATTTTTTCATTGATTTTTAGGGAGAGTAAAAGGAGGAAGGAAAGACAGAAAGAAACATGGATTGGTTGCCCCTTGCATGCACCCCAGCCAGGGCTGGGTTGGGGAGGAGCCTGTAACCAAGGTACATGCCCTTGACCGGAATCGAATCTGGGACCCTTTGTCCTCAGGTGGACACTCTATCCACTCTGTCAGACCAGCTAGGGCAATATTGAACCTTTCTGACCAGCCTGTTTGCAAAGGCTTTGGCCAATATCAACAAGGGGAGCCTCATCTGCAGTGTAGGGGCTGGTGAACCTGCCCCAGCAGCTGTGCTGTACCAGCAGGAGGTCCTGCCCCTCCACCACGCTGCCCCAGCTGAGCAGAAGAGAGTGAAAGCGAAGAAAGAAAAATGGAGGGTCTGAGGAAGACGGGCTTTGGTCTTCCTGACAAAACCGCTTTTGTATCACATTCAATAAAAAGCTGAACTCTGCAAGAAAAATAAAAATCAATTTTAAACATAACTTCCTTAATCTCTTTTAGTAGGAAAGTAGTTTTCATTTAAACTTTTTAATACTACTGCCTTTGATTTTTCTATAAAATAAAAAAGACAGAAATGTTATTCTTAAAAAATACAGTTAAAGAGGACAGAGCTGTGTTTTATTTGTAATAAGATTTCCAATATATGCGCTTATTTTGGCTAATTTTCCCAACCCCCCCACTTTTGTGATACTGTCCTATTACCACATAGTGCCAAAAATCAAATAAACACATTAGTACAATGTTTAGAATCATTATTAGCAGTAAATGGTAGTTACACTGCACTAGGATAGAATGAACCACCTCAATAGCTTCTGAGGCTAATATTATACATTCTATCACCACAATTACTTTAGCAAACCTGGTTCCCTTCATTTCTGCAACGTCATGCAGAGTTAGTAATCAAGTTTGCACAACACTGGCTTTTGTATGAAATAAAATTTTAAAAAAACTGCAGCCCTAACCAGTTTGGCAAAAGACAAAGAGAATATTAAAAGCAGCGAGAGAAAAAGTTACCTACAAGAGATAACCCATATGATTGTCAGCTGATTTCTCAACAGAAACTATGCAGGCCAGAAGGGAGTGGCAAGAAATATTCAAAGTGATGAATAGCCAGAACCTACAACCAAGATTACTCTACCTAGTAAAGCTATCATTCAGAATTGAAGGGCAACAAAGAGCTTCACAGATAAGAAAAAAAGCTAAAGGAGTTCATCACCACTAAACCATTATTATATTAAATGCTGAAAGGTATTCTTTAAGAAGAGGAAGAAGAAAAAGGTACAGATAACAATTATGAACAAATACATATCAACAAGTGAATCTAAAAATCAAGTCAATAAAAAATCTGATTAACAGAATAAACTGGTAAATATAATAGAATCTGGGGCATAGAAAGGGAGTGGCCTGACAATTCTCGGGGGGGAAAGGGATGTGGGGGGATGTGGGAAGAGACTGGATAAAAATCGTACGCCTATGGATGAGGACAGTGTCGAGGAGGTAAGGGTAGAGGGTGGGGTGGGAACTGGGTGGAGGGGATCTGGGGCGGGGGACAACTGTAATAATCTGAACAATAAATATTTATTAAAAATAAAAATGATTTATCTAAACAGATGTTATTTAATTGCCGATTATAAAAGCCCAATGTTCCCACAAGCTAGAAATATTAATGGCATAAAAAATTTTTTAAAAGGCTCACCTCCATGTAAGAAAACAGGTTATTATGCTATATATATAGCATGATACCAATTTTGTTTTTTGTTTTAAAAAGGTACTTTATTTTATTCTTTGTGCTTTTTTAAGTTCCGCAATGTACAGACATTAACTTTATAATAAAAATGTGATAAAATTACTAACTTATTACACATCACAAAATTCTTGATTACCATGTTTTCATATAAAACATACAATTTTCCAATCAAATTTAGGTAAGTACAAAATCTTATATTATATTATAGGTTTCAGAAGTATGTGTTCAACACAAAAGGGATTTGAGAGAAAATTTTAGATAATTTCAAAAGATGACTTAAAACGAATAAGCATGGTTTGGAAATTTCTTACTGAAAAGCCAAAGCCTACATATCCTAATTAAAAAAAAAAACAAAACATTTATTATCCTAATCCATTAGTTTTGCATTGTCTATCCAAAACTCTAAGTAAAACTTACTTCTTTATTTTCTAAATATTCAAATTTGACTGTTTCTTAAAATTAAAACATCAAAATGACACCCCCCCAATATTAACTATTATAAAACTGAAAATTATTATTTATGCATGGGAAATAATCTAATTAACATCTCTTATCAAATAGCCCATTTATTAAAATAAGATTACAGTATTTCAATATTGCCACTCCATAGGATCGAGACACCAAAAAGAAAATAATAAATTAATTCAGTGTATTAAACCAGCTGTTACTGCCAATGTAAGAAAATATGCACTAAATAAAAATGGATATGTTTATAACTGAAACTTTATTCACAAAATATAATGGTCTTCTAATAGCAATATTTGAATATTATAGCTAAACAAAAGTAATTAAAAATCAATTCAAATAACTTAGAATAAGTGCTTTATTTTTTTAATTCCCACAAAAACTGAAACTATCATTTACATCAGTTGCAAGAGCAATAAAAATTAGAAATCAAGGTACTATAACTCTTGAAAATACAAGCATAAAAAACAGAAAGAAACAAAAAGGAAATCTAAGTGCTCCTTTTAAATTGAAGGTAATCTGTTTGTGATATAACCCACCTGCAGATGTACAAAGAGCTGATGCATTCAAAACAGTGCAAGACTTAATTTAGAACAAAATTCCAACCCAGTTTTCAGTACTTTTCAATTGCTTTTGCAGGTTTATGTAGAATCACCAAAAAAAAATAAAAAAAAATCACTCCTAATATGTAACCAGCTAATGCCATTTCACAATATTCCACAACAACACAACAGTAACTATAGAAATCATCAGGTTAAACTCACAGGGGGAAAAGTAAAATCTCTCATCCAAAGTGCATATGCTTTAATATAACTGCAATATAGTTCTACTTTCATTAAAACAAAAAAGCAAAAAACAAAAAAAAGTTTTCTTTAAATTACACATCTAAAAGCAAATGTATCATTTCATATTCTTTTTCTGAATTAAAAAATATTTACGTAATCTTCCTTTGCTTTTAATTTTAAATATGAATTGATAGTGGGGTAATTAGATTCTTTAAGAAATCTCAATAGATGAATACAACATACTATATCTTCTTTAAGAAGTATGACCTGAAATGTTAGGCATTCCTTGTGTTGATTTTGAATATATTTAAGGAATGCTGTTCTTGTAAACAATGGCCTTGAAAAAGAAATACTGAGACCTATTCATTAATAGAGGATCTCTATAATAGATCACCAAAACTATCCTGTTCATGAAGTCAGGGAAAACATTTTTAGAATTTATCTTGCTATGGAAAAAAAATGGTACCACTTTTCTTCCTTTTTCTTTTTTCTGATCATCACAGTTAAACATCAGAAGGTTTTCCCAAATAAATATCGATGTAAATGTTGATTTCAAGGGCAAGCAACTTTCATAAGCATCTACTTCTCAGACATTTCACCATTTGTGGAGACTGAGGCAGCACTGTTCTGGTGTGAATTGTCACTGGAGTCCTGTGACATATTCCTTCTGGGAGAATTTATTGGAATCTGAAGTTGACTGGCAGATGCAGGCTTAGCAGCATTTGGTGACTTTGTGGAGGAATGAGATGGAAGTCTATGATGATCACTCTCTGAACCAGTAGACGAATGTCTTTTTCTTCCAAATTCCTCACTAATAGGGGGCTGCAAATTATGAAAGACAACACAGTGACGGTTATACTATTTTTTCTTCCATTTAAAATCTAAGGTCAGGAAATTGTGCTTCAGCAGATTTTATTAGTATACAAAATACTTAACAGCAATTTAAGGAATTGACTTGAATGTCCTCCCAACTGAATCATCTTGCTAGTATTTTTTCATTCTTTCACTTAACACATGTTTATCAAGCTTCTCTTACGTTTTAGGGCTTGAACTACACAGCGGGGCATAAGTGTAACCTTGGGTTCCTTGCTTCAAGAAAATGTTTCATAGGCGTTATTTTCCATCTTTTTTCAACTTCTGTTAAATGTTAAGCATTTATAACTCTAGTTCCTTCCTCAGCCCTAACCTCCTATCCTAGGCTTGCTTAAATGGTAATGTTTAACAAACAGATAAATGGAAACAAGGGGGGGGGGGGCGCGTATACCAAGTCAAACACCTTTAGCAAATTTGAAGGTTTATCTCAAATTTCTAGGAAAGGACTGGAGAGCATTATTGATAGTACTAAATTTAAACACTTTTAAACATAAATATCCAGCCCCTTCAGACTGCAAGCACAGAGAGGCAGGCAGTAGACAGGTATCCTGCATTTTAAAAAATCGCTCTTTTAGGCCTTTTACAGTGACCAAGATTTTAGAGCTCAAAAGGACACAACAAAATATTTTCATTTGAAGACAAGTTAAGACCATAACCTCCTTCACCAATATTCTATTGTATTTGAAGGTGGAGGCCTGAATTCTTAGCTTCAATTCAGAAAGGACAAATCACTATTATAAAGATAGCAGGGATGTGTCTGTGACAGAACTGGATAGGCCACTCTAGAAACACAGCTCTTCACTCTATTAACTTCACCTCTGGGCCATCTAATCCAGCAGTTGCCAATTGGTGGTCCATGAGTTCTGAAAGGTTGGTGACCACTGATCTAATCCTCTTAGACACAAAATTTCAAGACAGATTACAGTACTAAGTAGTGGTGAACCTAGCCTTCCTTTCATCTCTCTTTTCTACTTTTTGATGCTTCTTTATCTTTCCTGATTTCTCTGTCCTCTTCTTCATCCTTTTTATTTACCTTTTTATGTTCATCCCATTCTTTTTCTAATGCTTTTCCTTTCCCTTTTAAAATCACATTGTTTAAAGTCTACCCTATTATCTATCTCTACAGATGCACCTAACATTCTTGCGTAATTTTATTATGCAGGGAACCCTAGATTCCTGTTATATCAGCATATGTTACAAAAACTATAAAAGTATATAAAAAGTTAAAAAATTTCAAGCTGCTGCCGGGACCGGTTTGGCTCAGTGGATAGAGTGTCGGCCTGCGTAATGAAAGATCCCGGGTTCGATTCTGGTCAAGGGCATGTACCTTGGTTGCAGGCACATCCCCAGTGGGGGGTGTGCAAGAGGCAGCTGGTCGATGTTTCTCTCTCATCGACGTTTCTAACTCTCTGTCCCTCTCAATTCCTCTCTGTGTAAAATCAATAAAATATATTTTTTTAAAAAAAAAAGAAAGAAAGAAAAAGAAAATGTAGAAACAAGTTAAAAAAATTTTTTATTTTATTTATTATTTTTTAAAATATATTTTATTGATTTTGTACAGAGAGGAAGGGAGAGAGATAGAGTTAGAAACATCGATGAGAGAGAGTCATCGATCAGCTAGCTGCCTCTTGCACACCCCCTACTGGGGATATGCCCGCAACCAAGGTACATGCCCTTGACCGGAATCGAACCCGGGACCCTTCAGTCCCCAAACCGACGCTCTATCCATTGAGCCAAACCGGTCTTGGCAAAAAAAAAAAAAAAAAAAAAATTCAAGCTGCTAAGTGGGAAATTTGCAACATATCCACATAAAACAAATCTATAATTTGTTTAACTATAGGAAACATATCAAAATTGAAGTGAACTGACAATGCACTATAGTTATGTAAGATGTTAACATTTGGGAATTCTAGGTAAAAGAATATATGGAAATTCTCTGTACTACTTTTGTACCTGCTTTAACATTTGATTTCAAAAATGGAAAGTTAAATTTTCAAATAAAAAGTAAAAAAATAAAATCAGCAATACAGAGGAAAGTACTTAAAACTTACATCAACGCGGAAGTCTTCTAACCTCTTAAAGCTACAGAGGTATTCCTGAAGTTTTGGGTCAACAGACTGTGTCTTAGATTGAGAATATTTGAGATAAGCCCAAAATTTTTCTAATCCATACAACTGACCTAATAACAGAAAAGAATATACATAATAAGTTTTATAGGAATTTTTAAAGATTATTTATATTGAACATAATCCTACCAGCAATAAACCATTTACCTTCCCATTACCTAGGTCTTGAGAATAAGACATTTTAATGAATAAGGCAGCTAACATTATACATTTGCTATATTCAGTGGTTTATTACATATTAAGCTAATCTGAAGCATATACAACCCTGGAATATAGTTGTTTTTGTATATGTTACTGCTGAATAAGCTGAAACAAGGTTAAGTAACTTGCCCAAGATCACATAGCTACTAAGTAGTGGAAATGGGACTTGGACCACGCTCAGGGCCAATGCTCTTACCCATTGTGCCGCCCCACCATTCCAGACACATCCACTGATGCTACACAGAATTTCTGTGTAAGAGAACATCAGTGAGTAGTCACATTTGATTTTTTTAAATATATTTTATTGATTTTTTACAGAGAGGAAGGGAGAGGGATAGAGAGTTAGAAACGTCGATGAGACAGAACCAAGGATCAGCTGCCTCCTGCACACCTCCTACTGGGGATGTGCTCACCACCAAGGTACATGCCCTTGACCGGAATCGAACCTGGGACCTTTCAGTACGCAGGCCGATGCTCTATCCACTGAACCAAACCAGTCAGGGCAGTAGTCACATTTGACAAGTGAATAATGACAAATGCAACTCCTCATATGGAAGGTCTTAGTCCTTATGGTGCCCCATCCTTCATCAAGCACCATAATAGTGGCCTGAAGATCTTAAGTGATCTGCCTTAAGGAAAAAGTTATAAATTCCCTATTCATTGACACTCGGGTTTACAATGAATAAATAGAATAAGTTATTTTTTGTTTTGTTACCAGATTCGTAGTCTTTTTTGGTTTCTTCTTGGAAATCCTTAAAAATTTCTTGTCTGAATTTTTTTTCCAGTCCGTAACTATAAAACCTGAAAAGACATTCTAATCCATACCTGTGAAAAAGAAATAATACTTATAATTTTTTTGCCGTGACAATATCAATATTTCATACTTAACAGCATTGATATAAGCAAATATGGCCCAAACAAACAGAAAAATATTTAATATGTAGATGTTTAGTTGAAGCAGTTACTAGTAATCCATAGTTGGCTTTGCTGTTTTTGTTGACTCAGCCATAGCACCTCCTGGAGGTACACTGGGAACATGGAGAATGAGAGGAACCCTTGAACAACAAGAATGTTAACTTCTTTGGACTGAGGAAAGATCTCTCCCTGGAATTGCTGAGGAACTAGCCAAAAGAATTAATGATAAACCAAGGTTTATAATGGTATTTGTGCATTGAATTAAATAGTCTTGAAGATAAAGACCACACTCTTATGCTCTAAACCTTAGGCGTTGTTGACCCATTCAATAAAGTACATTTCATAAAAGACATTTTGCTAAAAGAATTGTGATCACTAAATAAATTAGAAAACAAATGTCCTTGTTTTTCTCCTCTAAGTGCCTAGAGAATTGGAGTCCTAGCTGGTTTGGCTCAGTGGAATACTGGCCCACAGACTAAAGGGTACTGGGTTTGATTCTGGCCAAGTGCAGGTACCTGGGTTGTAGGCACATTTGATTCTGGCCAAGGGTAGGTACCTGGCTTGTACCAGTCCTGGCTGGGGCACGTGCAGGAGGCAACCAATCGATGGGTCTCTCTCACATCGATGTTTCTCTGTTGTCTCCTCTCCTTCCTCTGTCTCTAAAAATGAATGGAAAAATATCGAGTGAAGATTAGAAAAAAAAAAGAGCCACAAAAAACTACCTAGAGAACCTGTGACAAGTTGTGGATAGTGGATCAGCAAACTACATGGGCTCAACCTCCAACTAACAATGATAAGTAGAACTCATGAAAGCAGACAAAATCAATAAGATAGCAGTGTAAGGGCCATGTCTAGCTCACTCAACTGAAATATGCCACAAAAGCTTCCTCATTATAAAAATCCTTGTCATTCTGGAAGCCTCAGTGTATTAGAGAAGAAGGATGTGTGAGGGGCGGGGGTATTTTGTAACTAACTTATTTACAAAATAAAGAGTATTAGTCCAGAGGAATTTCAACCTGCCAGGAGAAATGTAGGACTACCAACTACACACCCACATACGAACTAGCGCCTTGTGCTCTGGTAGCCATAAATGAGGCTACCTTTGAGCTTGTTTGACTGAAGGTTAAGGGAACTAAGGATTAAAGGATCACCAGCTCAGAATAGCAAATCTGTCCTGACTCTCTTCGTAAGGGATCATATCACATTGATATCAGTGGTTCTCAACCTTGGCTACATATAAGAATCATCTGGGAGTTTTTTAAAAAAATACTGATGCAAAGGCTCCACTGCAAACCGTTAAAATCAGCATCTTTGGGGGTGAAGCCCAAGCCCCTTCCTTCTTTTCTCTCTGAAAAGCTGAATTTAGAACTTTTAATTAACTATATTAAATTAATATAGAGGAGTGTTAGAATTTTTAGATTACTGGAAAGAACTAATAGACTACTACAACATTTGAGTTTTACTCTTATATCTTAGAAAATCAATTCTGAAGACCAAAAGTATAACATTACTAACACAGCCCAAATATGCAGCATAACTGCTAAAGAGCAGGGCGAGTGACCCCCTCACTGTGAGATGCTCAAAGACCAACCAGAAAGAACTATATTTAAATTCTAGGCTTATAACTATATCCCTGTATATAGGAATTGAAATATCCTACTTTTCAAGAATAGATGAGATACTAATTGTTAAGCACTTAGACCATAGCTGGCACACTGAAGATATGCAATAAATATTATTTCTCTCCCTCCTTCTTGAAACCATCTTAATCTTACTTCTTTTCAATGGATATATTTAGTAAAAATCTTCTTCCTAATCACTGAGCACTTGCTATGTATCAGTCCTTTACATGTTGTTTTGTTTAATCTTCACAATAACCTTACAAGGGTATCTACCATAATTTCCCCAACTTTATAACTAACGTAAAGCTGGGGGGGAAGGGGGAGCTAAAATTCGACACGGCCACAATAAATTAATGGGCTAGAATTCAAAACTAGGTCTCATTTCAAAGCCTCCCAGTGCTGAACCACTCTGCTATACTTCCTAAGAAATAGCTAATCCAGTCTAGTCATGAACACTGAAGAAAAAGACCCAAAATTATAAAAGATGTTACAAAGCTATTAGAAATGTACACAGAGGAGGAACTCCCAACCTAGACTTGGGTAGGAATGGGATCAGAAAAGTATTAGAAAGTCCTGCAGAAAAGTTGTTTGCTTATTAAACAGCAAAATATGCTGAAATTAATTATAACAATGGCTTTCAAATTTTTCTGAGTTTAATAGTAAGAAAAATATTTTAATTTGTGAGCAAGTCAATACAACACTCATATACACTGTATGTACATAAAAGCACATATAAGTTTTTCAAACTACTCTTAAATTTCTACATATGTATGAATTATGAAACAATTTAATCTTACTATGTTCAGTGCAGTTATACTGTATTTTCTACTGTATATTTTTAAGCAAGTCAGAATTACTAAATTGATTTCTGAACTCTTCAATGCGTTATAAACTACACTGTGAATGAGAACATCGAGATCAGAAAGGGCCAAGTTTGGCTTTTGTGTCAAATCTGGTAAACTAGCTAGCAATGTCTATTAAAATTGTGATAAAAGAAAGACTACTGAATTCAAGAGCAATATTAAAACTGCTGGATTGATTAAAGATGTCAGCAATGGATAGAGGAGACGAAAATAGAGTTAGGTACACATGCCATGTGCCTGTCATTCCTTACCAAGATAAGGATTCTAGATGCAAATTAAATTAAATTTAATTATTTTTACAAGTCAGTACAAGTGTAATGTTTTCTAAAAAATTTTCTTGCAGCAAATTTTCCCCTCTTAAAGATCACAATATCTTTTTTTTTTTCATTGATTTCAGAGAAGAAGAGAGAAGGAGAGAGAGAAACATCAATAATGAGAGAGAATCACTCATTGGCTGCCTCCTGCACGCCCCCTACTGGGAATCAAGCCCACAACCCCGGACATGTGCCCTTGACCAGAATCAAACCTGGGATCTTTGGTCCACAGGCCAACACTCTAACCACTGAGCAAAACCAGCTAGGGCTAACAATATATTTTTATTTGAGATTTACAAGAGGAACCCATTTTTAGACCTTGAAGATGGGTAAATCTAAAAAATATTGAAAGGAAAATTATATTTTTTCTTCTTTCCATCACTACTACTTTCTCTCTTTACCCAAGAAAAAAATAGCTTGTAGTAGTCCTCTTCATGTTCTTTCTCACTCTCCTGATCTAGTCTCAATTCAGCCTTATAAGCACTCTCAAAATTACCCCTGAACATTTCTCAAAAAAAAAAAAAAAAAAAGCCAGGTTTAACTGGACAAAAAACAATGAGTAAAGCAGAGGGAGGAAGAAAAGACCAAATAGGTAAGAATATCTAAAGATAATCTGGATGCTAGAGAGCTTGGTTCTCTCAGGGAACACGTAGTTCAGTTCCACTGCTGCCTAGAGAACTAACTGCAGGAAAAATGAGATTGGACAGAGAAGCCAGGTCATATCATGAGAGGTCTTAGTTTTTCTTGGCTCAAGCACATATTAATTTGGGGACATATATGCACATGCAAGGAACGTCAGTAATGATGGACAAGAGAGAAGATAAATCTTTCAAATTTCATTTGGCCTTTATGCCATCCCTAAAATGATCCTAAATGATCCTACCTCCTGGTATTCACAACCTTGTACAATACCCTCCCACTCTGTGTCAGGGTGGGTCTACGAATGACACAATATGGCAGAAGTGATAGTATGTCACTTTCAAGTATAGATTATACATGGCACTGAGACTTCCCTCTTAGAAGTTCTCCCTCTTTTGTCGTTCACCAGCTCTGACCTGAACAAAGGCCTGTATGGTCAAGAACTAAAGCCGCCTGCCCATAGCCCTGTGAGTGAGCTTGAAGAGGATCCTCCAGACAGTCAAGTCTGTTGCCCTATCCAACACTTTAATTGCAATTTCATTAGAGAACTGAACAAGAACGACCCAGCTAAGTAAGCTGTTCCTGGGCTCTGACCCATAGAAACTGTGGACTATTAAATGTTTTCTGTTTCTGAGCTTGGGGGTATTTTGCTATGCAGCAACAGTCATTAGGACAGTTTCCTCCAGTTATGCAGGCTACTTTCAGAGCTACTTTTCAGTCCTAGCTTTTATTTTTTTAAAATCTCTCCAAGTGTAAAAATATAGAAAAATATTAGACCTGTAATTTTCTTTTGCATCTTCCCAAGCAAGTTGTTTAAATTCCTCGTACATTTTTTTATTGAAGTGGTCTCTGAGGAAAAAAGACCAGAAACGAAAGAGAGTATTCATTTCTTGAGACTGGCCAACTCCCAAGCGCTTTCGGTCTGGAAAAAGTTAAAATGATAAAACATTTTTTAAAGTAAAGAAACTTACTAAAGGCAAAACAACAGATGTTTTACATATCTTAAAGAAAGCTGAAACGTATTCATCTTCAAAATGTATTATATTTGGGTTTCTTCTAAATAAATTTAAGATTTGCCAAAAGTAACAAAAATATGATGACTAGAGGCCCGGTGCACAAGTTGTGCACCAATGGGGTCCCTCAACCTGGCCTGCGGGATCAGGCCAAAACTACCTCTGACATCCCCTGAGGGGTTCTGGATTATGAGAGGGTGCAGAACAGGCCAAGGGGACCCACTGGTGCACAATTGGGGCCTGGGAGGGAGGCGGGAGGTTGGCCGGCCAGGGAGGGACTGCAGGAGGGCTCCAGGGTGTATCCTTCACATCTCACTCAGTCCTAATCGGCCGGACCCCAGCAGCAAGCTAACCTACAGGAGTATCTGCCCCCTGGTGGTCAGTGCACATCAGAGCAAGCGGTTGAGTGGCTTTAGCATATCATTAGCATATTACAGTTTGATTGG